TAAATAAAATAGATTTAAATAATATTTTCCACTATTAAAAATTATAACAAGTAGCTTTAACTATACATTAATTTATACATGACATATTAAGTTGAATACTGATTTAATCTGACTGTATTTATATTTTTTATTTAAACTTAGAACATAACATTATTAAAACTAATCATTGTTTCTTTCTTCTTAAATATACAACTAATATATTATCATAATTATAATCATTTGACAAAAACAATGAGAAATAAGTAATGAAATGTGAATTAATACGTAGTATTTTATAAATGTTACAGATACTTAAAATATTTGGCATGTATATTAATAAAAGCAATTTTATTTTGGAGTACCAGGATCATCATCAATTTGACTTAATTCTGGAGATCCTGTATTATCAACTGGTTTTTTTGAGGGAGTTCTAACTGTTGGAGATTCTTGCTTCTTTTGCAAAAGTGCATTGAAAAAGCTAGCCAAGGCTCTTTCACTACTTGGAGGAGGATTATCTGAAATGCGTTTATTTGCCGATAATGGTTTTGTAAGTTCTATAGATTTCCTAACAACTGGTGTTTGTGGTTGAGTTAAATTTTGGTTTAACAGCACAAGTTGTCGGGCCAAAAATGCTTGTTCCTCTTCATCTAGAAGTTCATGTTCTTTATGTGGTTTTTCATATGGATATGGTATAGCATCACTATAATGTGCTTCAGGATTAATTTTTTGCATATTTTCATAGAGCACTTCAATTTTTTTCAAACTATCCCAGCCTGAAGGCACAAACACAGAATCCTTTTCCACGATTAATGCAGGTGTTTTAAATGGAAAGCGATAAATTCTGAAAAAACATATTTATAAAATGTAAATAAAACATGAACTATGAATAAACATTGTTTATTTTTATTTTACTATAAATAATAAATAAGTATAATGAATAATAAATTAGTTTTATATTAATGCTAATTAGATATAAATATCTAATTAATAATCACAAACTAATCAACAATTATTTTAGATGTTTTTATAATGAAAAATAAGAACAATTATGAGCGTACTATAATATAAGTAAATCAATCTCATACCCAATTCAACAGGTGTCATATTTTGATATGTTATGAATATGTTTTAAACAGTTTTGAATCAGGATTTTTAACTTATATATCAAATAAAAAAGTGAAAAAATATTTAAAATATTATAGTTTACCTATGCATTAAATATTTATATAGAAGATCACAGTTTTTATCTTCCATTACAGATACATAGAACAATGCGGCTCCAAATTGTAAACAAAATTTTCGCAAACAACATTGAATATAATCAAAATGTTCTTCTGAATAGTTGTCGATTTCTAGATTTTTGATGCAATCAGTCATAGTTATAACAACAATTATATCCAATCCAAGATTTTTTGATAGAACTCCATCGTTGAGAAGTCGAACTTTTGTGCAGGATTCATACGATGGATCTAATCATTTGAAAAATACTTAGATATAAGGCAAGTCTAAATTACATGGAATATTTACCATCAAGCAGAGTATAATCAATGATTCGATCAACACATTTATCTCTGAGATTTTGAGTTTGTTCCATGCCTAAATTTAAACTATCTATATGATCTTGAAGTCTTGCTGACCAAAATTCTAAAGATTCCATAATTTTCCATGGGTTCTTTAAAGACGCAACTAAAACAATTGTTGTGTCCTCAAAATGTTGTTCATTTAATGCAAATTTCATCAAATATTTTAGTGAACGATCACCATCTAATGTCCAAACATTTAATTGGGCATTTTCATCAGTGCTGTCATCGCGCACCTAGTAATTCAAGTAAAATACAAGTAAATAAATCTGAAATGTAGAAGATGAAATTATCTTACCTGTATGTATCCATACTCCATGCCCCATCCTTGTTTTGAATCTTTTAGGCCTTGCAACTTGGTCACCAATGTTGTTTTTCCTGATTTACTATCACCCAGTAACAACACATTTTTGTTTTCTGGCAATTTTTTTCGACTTTTATTTTGTACATCCAATAGAAGATTGTTCCAATGATTTGCATCATTTTCTACATCAACTTGAGTGCTAGAGTCTTAAATCAATACAATATGTATGTTTTATTGAATTTCAAATATAAACTATCAATATGCTATCAATATAATGGAACTTACCCATAATTATTAATATGGAATGTGGAAACCGTGAGAAACTTCTAAACCATTAAGGCCCTAACAAGAACTTTAAGCTATGAACAAAAACACATTAATCACAACTAAATAATTATAACTTTTTGATTTATTTATTTTATTATCGTATTATTATAAGTCAGCGCACGGAATAAAAGTCAAAGTGAAATGTGAATTCTACAATATGACCATAAAACAATCGCATTATCAAACGTATGTACTCAGCAAAGAAAGCTCCCGTACATTTGCCACTTATCAATTCAGATAACTTATCAGTGATAAGGCAAGTAACCACAATAATGCATAATCTATTGCCTATGCATATCTTAGAAGGGGTTTTAATGAAAAAATGTATTTATCAGATGTACATAAATCAAAATTCAATATGGATAAATATGGATATAATTCAATGTGGATATGAATTAATAACAATTATTATTGATATTAAACTATTAAATATTAATTATATCATTTATAATATAAACAAGTTATTAAATTATTTAATGAGTATTTAGTATTTATTTTTAAAAATAATTATTACCTAATTAATAACTATGGTCATAGTCATCATTAATCATACATAAAAGATAATAATTGTCTTTAAAAACATAACATAATGAATCATATTTTATTATTACTCACTTTCACTTATAACTTATTTCACTATTCTAAACTAGTATTTTAGTGAAACAACTGATTTAGTTCCATAAAAATGATTATAAACATCAAAACCAAATAAATTGTCTATTTTATACACATTCTTGTTCTGGAATCTATATTTTGTCTTTTAATGACAACATATGTCAATCAGACAACCAGTGGTGTAATTCCGGGGGGGAAATAACTCCCTGACATTGTTGTGGAGGGACAAAGGCCAAAGGTAACATCCCCCCTAAATCTTAGAATCTTTTTAAGTTAAGAAATAATGCAATATAGTTCACATAATATTATAATATTAAAATATGTTTTTCTACAAACTATTTCATCAAAGCTTACATTTATTTTAGGTTTCTCTAGTTGTATATAGTTGATATACTTATAATGTTGACGTCAATGATAATCACATTTAATAAAATCATTAAATTATTTGTTGATGAACCATGACGATGCTTTTTTATAATACGCAAGTCGAAAAGTTGCTTAGAAATGTTTCGTAGCAATTATAGTCTATAAGAACAAAAACAATCAATTTCAGTATTCAAACACTTCATACCACGATTGGATCATTTGTACTTATCCGCAATTGATGAATACCAATAGAAAAATATTTGGTATGGGCACTTTTAGATATCTATCAAGAAGTTTTTCCAAGGTTAGGTTAGGTTAGGTAAAGACATCGTTCTAGTATTTAAATGGATATCTACATATTGTCCTATTAGAAAATATACTTATAAAAGTATGGAATCATTTAGTTTTTACGGCGATACTTAGGAGCATAGGCGAAATTTGGGGGGGGGCCTCTAATATTAAAATTAGCCCCTTCAAAAATGTATATTTAATTGAAGTATTAAATCCTTCTTTAATTATCTAATCTACATAATACAGTAAATGTTGTTTGAAAAAAATTGTTTCTAAAGTTAAAGTCTGGAAACATGGAACAAGCCCGTGCAAGGTGCAAGATGCAGAGCTTTATCCTAATTCATATAAACTGTTATCATTATCTTTAACAATTCCGATTAGCTCTGCAATATGTGAAAGATCATTCTCAGCAATGAGAAAGATTAAAAATTGGCTTTGAACATCTATGAATCAAGATAGATTTACAAATTTGTCATTGATTTATATAGAACGAGATTTATCAAATGAATTGTCCAACGAAAAAAATATTAGATAAATTTGCAATTTCTAACCGAATGTTTCAAATTTCAATTATAATAATAGACTTAATAAATAAATATATATTACATTTATTTACCTAAATGTTGTTATTTTTTCAAACAAATATTTTTAGTTTTATTAATAGATACATTATAATATATTAAATGTAGGAAAGTAGATGAGAAAATATGATATCGCCATATTGGTACTTGAATGGGAAATATGGGACAGATCCCCCCAAGGGCTTGATATAAATATGTATAAATATGTTGAGCACCTCCAAGTTAAAAACTGAAATTGAGCCTATGCTTAGGAGTCGGTAATATTAACTTAGTAATAACCGACCTTAATAATATAATTGGTATAAAGCATAGTTATTAATGTTGAATTTTGGTCAGCTTATAGGACAAAAATAATAAGCGTCTAATTACGACCAACAGGGCAAACCTACGGTAATTACATTGGTGTCATTAGAAGTGGCTTTGAGGGCAAAATGAGACAATAGCCCTCCCCCCCCCCTCACACACACACACACACACAGGAAGTTCAGATTCCCTCCCATTCCGAAAATGTAAGGTGGATTATTATTTATTAACCATAACTCGCAAATCCCGATGACTTAATAATGTAGGTATTATTTCCAAAAACATATTGGTATTAACCGTAGTCAATCTAACGCGAAAATCGACATTTAATAAGAAATAAGTTTAGACTCGAGGCCCTCAAGTTGAAGGCTTACCCTACAGGCTACAATCACCCACTCACATTAAAAGGCAGCTTACGGGCAGTATATGTGGTAACGCAAAGCCAGTGGCAAGTTCACAAGGAGCCACAACGGAACTCTTGTTCCGGATAAGAAAACTATGATTTGTGAAAAAAATAAAGCGCGGTTAAAAAACCAATCGAGTAACCGGAACATTTGGGTAATGACCCAACCATGGTTACCTCGAAGCTCGCCTCCACCACGGAGGTTACACGATCAGCATATTTCAATATGATAACGATTAACGGCCCCCTTCGCCTCGTGTCCTCGACGGCATCAGCTGCTACCGCGGTGGAAGTCGATTTGTTTTTAATAGCAATTTAACGGAATTTCCGTCCGGACGGTGTGAGTGGTATGACGGACGGCGAGACTAATAAATTCTAATTTCCAGTCCGCGCGCTGCTGCAACAAACCAGTCTGTATTATAAATTATAATTGTTGTTGTTATTACGCCGTCGTTTCATTCAATACTATTATCACATGGCGACGACAACCGGCACGGCGGCACTGGAACGAGTTTCGTCCACGATTATTTGAATACAAGATTAAATACTATCATTTATCATTATTTTACCAATATTATTATCGTCTACGGTGTTGATATTTTATTTTCGGTTTTTGTGTTGTTTGAGTTTGTTTTTAATTTTTTATTTAAATCTCCTACCTGCCACGAGATGAATGTAACGTGAAATTACGAACACCCCGCCGACCAGTCACAATGGCCAAGTTTGTAGTGAGTATCTGGACCAATTCCTTTGTATTATGCACGTATAATCACTGCAATTGTATTTTACTGCATATTGGTTCATTGATCCTATACACAATTTTTTCAATAAAATCCTATTTGATACCGTTGTCCTGCCGTGTAAATCAAACCAAAACAGGTCTCTTCTTGTAAAAGGTTATTGGTGATAAAAATAATATCTGTTTTATCATAGAATATTTAAAAACTGACTATATTCCTTGAAAATTGTTGGTTAGGTGCCAAAAAAACGTAAGATTCAAAACAATTAGGTACCTACTACCTTTTTTTTGGATAAAATAGAATGTTTACAATCTGTAATATTTATATTCAATACAATAAGTAAATTTGATAAAATATAAGGAACATAACGTGAAATTGCGTGAGGAGGGAGGCCCACCAGTGTGGATACCCTCTAACTTGGGGTGGAGAGTTTTATTTTTTTTTAAATTAGTGCAGTTCGGGATTCAAGAAATCTCAACACCAGTGTCTTTTTAATGGACGTGGGGTCGGGGTTATTAGCTATTCACTAGCTAAGTTAGAAATAAATGGATTTGTTTGGTAAACTGCTTTGGTGCGGACATTTTTGTAGTAGTTTTTAGCTGTTTTAGAGACTGTTTCAATTTTAAGATTTTTGTGTAGTGAAAGGTTTGAGAAGTGCCATGGCGCAGATGTTATTTGGCAAAGGGAGATAGACTGAAAGGCTTGTATAGTCCGTATTTGGGAGGGCTTAGTACAACCCCATATTTGGATGCCATAGGCCCAGATAGGGTTTAGCATTGATTAGTATATTAATAACTTATTGTTAATAGAGAGTTTGGATTTGAGGATAGGTCATAGGATATTACCTATGAGTTAAAATAAACTAATAAACTAAAGAACAACCAACATAAATTATGTTCACAATGTACATTTGAATATTATGATTACCAGTTACAAGACTAGATACATGATATGATATTTCTATACTTCAATATTTAAAGATTAAATATATTTTCTAATTAAATAGGAACTTTTTAATACTTACATACAGAAGGTACAATATTGTATTTATAGTTCACGGTAAGCTACTCTGTAGACAAATTATTATTTTTTCTTAACCATGTATTTCTACACCTAATCAAAATTACAATTCAAATAATAATGGTTACTGTTTCTTATGAAATAAAATGTGAGTTGAGAATAATCACATTTTATTGTTAATCATTCTAATTCAAATTTATTATTTATTATCTGTAATGAGCATCGTTAAGCCCTAAATAACTTAAATTGTAGGAAAATACTGTTATTTATAGCATAATTAATTTTAAACAATGGATTCTTTTAAAAACCTACCTAATTTTTTAAAATCAAATTAAAAAGAGTTTAAAATTATGCACATGTCCATACTCCGTACCCATACTTAAATATTGATATTACCTAATAGCACTAATTCATTTGAAAAAAACGATAGATAAATTATGATTTTGAATGATGATCATATTCATACTATGGACCTACCATATTTTAAAGTTATTATATTTTATATTATTTTAGGTTGAATTTTCTCCTCCGGAAAAAATTAAATCAGAGCCATACGATGTTACAGATTCAATTGTAAACTATCGTATGGTATTAGCACCATTTCAAAAACAAACTCAAGTAGAATTCAACAACATTAAACTTAAAGAAATTGCAGTGAGATTTTTGACAGTTGTCAATCCTCTTGACAGACATGGACAGGTGAATAAATTGATACTTATATTAAAATAACTGGATCTACCAATTATATTGTTTTCTTGAATATAATAGTAAATAACCTACCTAATAATTTTATAAATATATCAAATGATTACAGTTTGTTTTACCTCCTCCAAGTGACGGTGTTTATTTTGATGTTTATGAATTCACATTAGAACCCAATTCTGAATGTGAGTTATCAATAACTTGGCAGCCATCTCGACATGGAAATATGCGTAAATTAATTAGAATAGAACAAGTCGATAATAATAAAAAATATGATTTTGTTATTTTGGGGAATTGCAATAGTCCTCCACACAAAAATTTAAAAGTACGTTAATTTAATGAATTAATACATGATAATTAATTGATGATTGGTTTATTACACGTGTTTTAAAAATTTAAAAATGTAATCATGTAATATATTTTTAGAGTAATACCTCAAAATCAAAAATTTCAAATTTGACTAAAAAGCAATTAAAATGTGGACTAGAAAAAGTACTGCCGAATAAGACAAAACATATTAGTTCTAAGAGTGAAAGAATTATTCTCGTAAAAAACCACCCCCCAAATATACCAGAACCCATTAGTGAAGAAACACAGCCTATCAGACGACAAACATATTTAGTTGGAGAAAAAGAGAATCTTCCAATTTCAAAAAAGATTTCATTAGGTAGAGATACAATACTTAAAAGTCCTGAACGCAGTATTAAACGTCCAGATCAGAGACGTCAAGATCACGTATTTAATAAACATTTTAACTTTAAAAATCTGAACAATAGTTCTAGCTCAATGAGTGATGATTCACTTGAGAAACCATTAAACAAAATTATTATGAACATTTCTCAATTAAATGATTTATGTTTAACACCATTAAAAAGTACTGAAAACTTACTTTCTCCATTTAGTGTCAAGAAACAATTTAATAATTTTGATAGCCGAATGAGTTTTGATGTCACTGATGGACTATTAGATTCTAGTTTATCAAATTCCTCTATATTTATACCACAAGATGAATTAGCCACAGCTTTGACTTATACACCGGAAAATCAAAAGCCAACTAAAGTGTGTATGAATCTCTGGAATAAATTCATAAAATCACCCGAAGATGAATTAACTAATGGTGGTACAAATGATGGATTACATACTATCAACTCACAACCTTTTGTATCTTCTTCAGAAGTTGAATCAATCGACTTTGAGCAAAAATGCAAATGGTCACCTACACATACTATTCATCAACCTACAAGTACAGTAACAGATTAGCATAAATATGTCTAATATTATTAGCAATTTTAAATTTATTACTGTGTCTTATTAGTTTTTTTTACATTGCAGTGATTACTTGGAGTGGTACAAAACCAAAAAGACCGTCATTTTCTATTAAGCACTCTCCTTATTACAAATGTAGTCCAAAAACATCAATGACGTCTAAGAACAAAGTGAAACAATGCAGTAAGTAAATGTTATACATTATTCAGGTTACGGATCAATGATTATGGGTGTGAGTACTTGCTTAAAATCCAATTTATAAAATGATAGATTTATGTTATAGCCTATCCTTGAATAATATTATCTTACAATGTATTAAAAAAAACTCATTGAATTATAAATATTGTTTAAGGTACAAATCCACGAACAACACGTTTGAAAACTCCTAAACTAGATAAGTATGATGAATATCTTAAGTGCTTAGCGAATCCACAACTCGTATATCACAATAATGCTGAAGACCCATTTTTAAAAATGTAAGTAAAATCATTAATATATTATGTAGTATGTTCAATAAATTACAATATGATAGAGTACAATTTTTTAAAATTTATATCTAGTTGGTTAATTAAACTACTGTAATATTTTATTAATCAAAATGTGAATATCGAGGATAAGTTAACATCAAATAGGTTTTAAATATAATTATTATGATTGTAATTCAGAACGATTTGATTAAATTTTACTAAAAACTCTTCAATTTGTGCATTGCATGAATTTCTTTACGTAGTTAAATTAAATTAAATCACATTTTTTTTATAAAATAAATTTTCTTTTTCATTTTTTCTAAAAATTAACCATTATATAATTTTAATTTCAACAACAAATTAAAATATATAAAACCATTTCATTTTTATTATTATATGGATTAAAACTTTCATTATTATTTATTAATTAATAATCAGTGTTGGATAGTAACTTAACGTGCGTTACTCGTTACTGTAACAAAGTTACATTTTTCAGTAACGTTGTGGTAACTTTGTCATTATTTTTGGGTAAACCAAGAGTAACTACGTTAATTATTGAGAAGTAACTTAGCAGAAGAACTCGTTACATTATAAATTTAACTTTTTTTTTTTTTGGAGTGGGATATAGCATGGTGCTACTTCACGAGGCAGTCCTTCCCCTCGAATTTGCATCAGAAAATATAACTATACTAATAATTTAATTAGTATGTAATTACAACATTTTTTCAGTATAATCTAATAAAATTATATAAATAAACGATTTTGTGTTGGTGTTATTTTCAATTTTTAACTGATTATAAACATTGATTACAGCCTATACAGGCAGCAACTCTTATAGTTTATTAGCTGATTTATTTTTAGATCACCTGATAAAATATGTACATTAACATACTAACAGACAGTCGTACGGATTACCGCTTATAATTGGTAGGCCGGAGCTTTTTTCAACAATTCATAATTATATTATCATTTATTTAACATAAGAGTAACGTCATTGTAACTAGTTACTTTTGAGTAAAAATGTAATGTTACGCATTACTTTTGTTCTTGAGTAACCAACAAGTAATCTAGTTACCTATTTTATTTTGTAACTTGTAATGTAACTTAGTTAGTTTTAAAAAGTAACTTACCCAACATTATTAATAATACACACCATTTAGGTCTGAATACTATGAAACAGAATGGCTAGACCGCCAAGAATCTGATATGATTCGTTGGTTAAATGCAATGCTCACACCGACTGAAAAGCTGGTAGATGAAGAACAATCTAGTGACTTAGAGCAAGCAGCTATGGCTTGGGTAGAAGCATCCAAGACATGTCATAAAAATAAACCTATGCAATTTGCCACCCAAAAGGATCTGTTTGTAGCACAAATGTACCGGCAGTCACCACAACAATGGAGTGCGTTGCGCAAAGCCACGATAAATCTCATTACATCTTCAAATGTAACATCTGTCTTATCAAAATTAACTGTATCAATCGAGAAAGATCTCATTACTTTAAGAGATGATCGTCAAATACATTTAGACTTAAGTGAGATTTATTTATTTATAGTTACTAAGTCTAAAACTAAACTTATATGGTTAAATATAATTATTATTTTCTTTTTAGGTTTAAAGAAAAAAATTATTGATCTGCTAAAATGTTACAATCCGCTATGGTTTAGAATTGGCTTGGAAGCTATATATGGTCAAATTGTTCATGTAAAACCTGGATCTAATGATTTAGATGGCATTGGCTGGTTTGTTCGTAAAAATCTGTTTAATAGTGATTATGTCAAACAGAAATTTACCAAAACTACTGTACTACAAGTGAACCTGCCTTCATATAATGTAAGAAAAAATATTTGTTTCTTCCATTTATATTTTATTGTACTTATGGCAAAATAAAAAATAAATGTTCATCAGTAATACAAAACAAATGTATCTACAGACTTTGTCACTACTTTTAAAAGGATAATTTATTGATTTTGTGTAAAAACATAATTAACCTATTATTTTTTTCTATTTTCTATGAACTTTGTAATATTTCTAATGTTTTTTTTTATTTGAAGCTACAATAACATAGATTAGGGATCGGCAATCCGCGGGCTGCATTTGACCCAAGATTAAAATTTATAATTTGTACAAAAATCACCAACTCAGATAATGTGGACTGCTAACTGTAGATTAAAAGTTGTTTGTAGATACTTTGTTAAATTATTAAGCCTAACAGTTATTAACTTAGATAAACTAGTTTTGATATGACTATACAGTTTTGTTTAAAAAGAAATAAGGTATATTCAAGTTGTGGCCTGTGAAAAATGTTATATTTACTTTTTGGCCCTTGACATATTTTGATGTCACCTAATTTTTCAGATTACCGACCCCTGACATAGATTATTGGCTTTTGATGTTTACAATGTGTTAATATAGATATGGTATTTTATATAAAGTTTTACATTTTGAACAGAATATTTTAAATTGAATGTATGGGAATTGTGTATAGAATGTCAGAAACTGTTTTAATATTTAATAATATTTCCTTTTTTACTGTAGGCTGCCATGAAAAAGTTTATTTTGAGAAAAATATTTATGCTCATATATTTTTTGGATCGCGCTAAAGAACAACAATTGATCAGACATAATCCGTGCTTATTCAAAACGGACTCACCATATAAAGTTAGTGATTTGACCATTTTTTTAAATCTTTTTCGACAACTGATTGATACTTGTTTCTATTCACAGAGTAGCTACGACTTAATGATGGGATTTTGTGCTGACATGGTGACTGCACATGGAGACATAGTTCGTCGGCTGCGAAGTATTGGTTATAACTTGACACATAAACAAACACATTTGGATGAAGTGAATTACGCAGTTAAGTCTCTAAATGACCTAAGGGATGGCACCAGAATTACCAGAGTTGTAGAAATTTTATTTAAAGGCAATCCATTGTCACAAAAACTAAGACTTCCGGCTATATCAAAGTTACAGAAAATCCACAATGTTAATTTAGCTTTCACACGAATATCTGAACATATATCCGTTGAGGGCAACATAAGCACTCGTGACATTGTGAATGGTCACAGAGAAAAAATCCTATCGTTATTCTGGCAGATTATCTACAAGTATTTAACTCCAAAATATAATAACGCTGCTACGAAAATCCAAAATTGGTGGAGAAATAGCAGTCTGAAACTGGTCATATCCAAGAGAATCCGAGCCAAAACGATTGCCAAACGTCACTTGGCCGCCTCTAGTATACAAGCTCGCGTTCGAGGCCATTTGATTAGGAAAAAATGGCCTCAATTGCGAGCTGAACTGGTTGAAAACCGAGAGATGTTGCATGCGGCTTCCACTACAGTCAAACGTTATTTAAAAGACAAGCTGAAACTATTGACAGAAGATCGAAAACGGTTTATAATTTTAAGGAGAACGGTAGTGTTTGTTCAGAAAAAGTATAGAAACAAGATGACTATGGTTAAGGAACAACGGAATTATTTAAAATTGAAACGGTCAGCGATAATCATCCAAAAAGTGTTTCGAGGTTTTATACTGAGGAAACACTGGCCTAGAATCAAGAACAATTTAATTGCGGATAAGACGAAACGAATTGCTGCCGCCAATACTATCAAGCGGTTGTTGAGAAAGAACTTGCCACCGACACAAGACCGTTTAACTTTTTTGAAGTTAAAACGGACCGTGTTGTATACCGAAAGTCTGTACGTTGCAAATAAAATGACGAAACTGCATACAGAACGTTACGCCGCTCTAAAAAGTGCAACCGTATTCGTCCAGAGACTATTCAGGGCCAACGTGTCGATGAAAAGAGAACGCGAAAATTATTTAAAAGCCAAACGGTCGGCTTTAATGGTCCAAAAAATGTTTCGTGGTTTCGTGATGAGGAAATATTGGCCGGACGCTCGAAACCGTTTAGTGTCTGAAAACGGGAGACGGGTCGACGCCATAAACACGATCAAGCGGGTGTTGCGGAAAAGCCTGCCGCCAACCCAAGACCGCTTGACGTTTTTGAAGTTAAAACATACAGTGTTGTACACTGAAAGTCTGTACGTCGCAAACAAAATGATGAAACTACATGCGGAACGTTACACCGCTTTAAAAAACGCAACCGTGTTTGTGCAGAGACGGTTCAGGGCCAACGTGCTGGCGACAAGAGACCGAGAACGCTATTTGAACTACCAGCGGTCGGCCGTGCTGATACAAAAGACGTTCCGGTGTTTCGTGGCCAGAAAACGTTGGCCGGCGACGCGAGAACGGTTGCTGTCGGATATGGAGAGGCGCGTCGCGGCCGCCAACACGGTGAAACGGGCGCTGAGACGAAACCTTCCGACGACCCAAGACCGAGCCAACTTTGTCAGGGTGAAAGCCGCAGCCCTGTTCGTACAACGCGCATGGCGAGCCAAGCATCTGATGATGGTGCAGCGGGAATGGTACACGACGTCGCAATACGCCACCGTGTACGTCCAGCGGACGTTTCGAGCAAAGGTCGCTATGAGGTCGGGCCGCCGTGAGTACCTGAAGGCCAAACAGTCGGCGGTGTTCATCCAAAAGGTGTACCGCGGTTACGTGGCCAGGCGTATGTGGCCTGATGTCCGGGACCGGTTGGTCGCCGAACGAACGGAGCGGGTGCTTGCGGCCGACGTGATTAAACGAGCCCTGCGACGCCGGTTGCCGGCCACCCAAGACCGGCTGAGTTACGAACGGCTTAGGCATTCGGTGGTGGCCGTTCAGAGGCGTTACCGGGCCAACGTGGCCATGCGGACACAGCGAGAAGCATACCTGATGCTCAGGCGCAGCGTATTGACGATTCAGCGGCGGTTCAGGGCTAACCTCCTCGCTAGACGCGACCGCCACTTGTACATGAGACTAAAGTTCACGGCCGCCGGACTGCAGGCAGCCGCCAGGGGCCACTTATTTCGACAGCTGCAGTGGCCATCGCTTATGGTTGAGCTGACCAGCCGTCGGCTACTGTTAACCAGGTGCGCCAACACCGTCAAGCGAACACTAATGAGGCGGCTGGCCGTAGATGATCGACGACAGTTTCTGGAGCTGCGACTTGCTACGGTCAAGGTCCAGTGTTGGTTCCGGGCTCGTAGGCAGGCCCGCGAGTACGCCAAACTGCGCGTCGCTGTTGTGACGGTGCAGCAGCGGTTTCGGGCCAACCAGGCCGCGAGACGACAGCGAGAAGAGTTCTTGCGTGTACGCACCGCAATGGTTCTGCTTCAAGCCTGCGCCAGGGGACATTTGGCACGCGTCAGGTGGCCTGTTGTGAAACGTGACCTACAAGCGCACAGTGACCAGTTAGCCGCGGCCAGCAACAGAATCAAGAGGTTTTTGCGCCGATGCCTGCCGACCACCTGCGAACGTTTCGAGTACTTGCGCCTGAGACAAGCTGTGGTCGCAGTGCAAACTCGTTACAGAGCCATGGTTGCAGCAAGACGTGGTCGGATGGATTACCTCCGGTTGAGACTGTGCACTATTGTATTGCAGAGACGGTATAGGGACCGCAGAGCCATCAGGGCAGCTATCTTATTGCAGGCACATGTCCGTGGATGCTTAGCACGCTGCCAGTGGCCGCAGCTCAAGCACAGTCTAGCAGCCAAACGGAAACTTGAGGCAGACTTAAAGCTGGTAAATGTAGCCTTCTTTCGTTGTATTTTTTCTTGTCAATTGTTTTTGAAAAGCGTTCAATGAATCAATTATATCATATTTTGTTACGTGTAGGAGAAGAACAAGGCTGCGTCCAAGATACAAGCAGTTGTTAGAGGATTTTTAACTCGCGAGAAATTTCCTAGGATCAGAGATGAGCTAATAACACAGAAACGTGCGTGTGCTGTCACTAAAATACAGGTGTGTATATATAGTTATACGAGGTTCAGAATTTTAAATTTAGGTTGGTAATTTTAGGCTCTTTGGAGAGGTTACTGCGTTCGAAAAAAGTACCAGTGTCGACGTGATACTGTCAGAATGCCCAGAAGAAGTGCCCAGACGTTGGGCAGAAGACACAACGATGTTGTGAAGATATTAAACAAGCAAAAGAGAAACGAATACTCATACAAAGAACTTGCCACAGTCTTTTGGAATTTGGGTGAGTGTAAACTTAAATGCATTTTACTCCCAAACCTGTGGTCTCTTTATAAAATTCAAATTTGTTACGTTTTAGACACATGTACGTCGTTATCCAAAGAGCTATGTATGAAGACAGCTGATGGTGTGATTGTAGATTACATTTTCCGTTTCCTGCAGTATTCTAACCAATCACAACCGAGCATTGAGGCTCGTGAACCTGCCATCCGGGTACTCATCAATTTGCTTAGGTACCATGAAACATCATGGATCATTTGGACAGTGAGTTAAATTACTTAATTGTTTTATCATGGATGTTTATTAAAGAATAGTTAGTCACCCATACTTGGATTTATTTACAGAGAACTGTAAATGCTGACATGATCAAAGAGCTTATCAAAATGATGAAGATGAGCTGTGGCAAATTTGGTTCAGCAAATAAACTATTTTGTTTAATTGCCACCTTGATATGGATAGTTTTGCAAGACCCTGAAAAGAAACAGGTAAATCATTGTATACTCAGTAAACATCCATACACAATTTTATTTATTAACTGTGTCAAATTAAAAAATAATATTTACCAGACTGTCTAGTATTTAGGTAGCCATCAAAAAAAGTGTTTATAATAAATGGTCTTCAATTATAGTTTTTAAAAATTTTTGCTGTAGCCTAAACCTTTTATTTATAATTTTGAGAATTTTTTTAAAATTATTCTTGTAAATTCATTTTTTAAGTAAGAAAGAAGGAGGACAATTTAACCCAAGGCTCCTCATAAGATGCTTTAATAGCAGTTTAAGATGCATGGGCACAATCATTTTTTATATGCATTTTTCAAATGTTGACAAATATTATCAAAATACCGAAAATGTTATTTGAAGTTAGAAATACATAATAGTTTTTCTTTTCAAATCTAATAAAAATTAAAAATACTAATTCTAATTTAATAAGACATTTTAACAATTTTAACAGAAAATTCCCAACAAGTTTTTCCATCTTCATCAAAAAACGAAAGTTACTCTATTATTTCTATTATAGCAATGAGATATTTTTGATTTTTATTAATTGTTAAATTTGATTATTTATACAAGTATGCTAAAATGACACGACGTTCCTGCACAGAATCGTTTTTTTATGCAATGATTTATCATTTTATTTAAATATAACACATCTATAACAACAACATACTGGATAACTAGTATACAGCAGAGCAGTCTTACTTTTTTTTATTAAATTATATACAGATAATACTATGTAATAATTTATATCTTATTGTGTTTTAGTATTTTAAAAGCAATCCAATTGCTGCAGACTTCAAATACATGATGGATTCACTGAACAGAAGGTACAAAACTCACAAAATAGATAAGAAATTAATGGTGCTGCCATCAACACGGCCTACGTGGTACATTGGCTCCAAATGTCAAAAGTGTTTTGAATCTGATCTCTTCGCCACAATTCAGGTCTGCAAAATGTTGAATATCATAAAATAATTGTAACTATTTTTTTACGTTTTAATTATAAATTATTATTATGTTTAAGATCTTTTATTACTATTAACTGTTGAAACTTTTTAATTGTTTTTTCTTTTATTATTTAATAATTTTATCAATTGTGTATTTTATTTTTTTACAATCTTTTGGTGTTTTACCATTAAAAATCACTTTTATATGCCATCTCATTTTTATGATTTTAATGGAATTTTATACAGTGATTTATTTTTACAACTATATTCAATGATGGTCTAAAGAAAATATAAAGATTTATAGTTTAAATAATTATATGTACCTAATTGTGTAAATATAATTGTTATTTTTTTTTAATTTGTGATTCCCTTCAACAATCTGTTGCGATCCAGATATGGAGTTCGGTTGACAAGGGTCGAATCAAATGAATTTACTCGTAGACAAATTAATTATTGTTATAATTTTATTGAA